ATCAAGCTATCCAATTGCATTTTGATTGTTTTAAGGGGTTGTTCTTTAGACCTAAGGCATAAAGCCTCCTCTGGTTTATTCCAGTTTATTTGTGCATTTACCTCCCTAAAACTTGTTTAGTTTACTACCATACTAAATGCTGTATGTGTTGCTTTCAGCCAGGCAAGCCTTATGTTTCAATTATGGAGGAGTTTATTCAGCACCTGTATTGCGTTGTGCTTCTTTTCAACTAAATTTCCATTTCCCAAAGGCCATATGCATGAATGTTTATACATGTCTTTTTTTTTTTTTTTTCTGTATGTATAAACACACAAAAATCTATACATTTGTACATATATACAAATATATCATCTCTAACTGAATGCATGCTTTCATTGAACCTTTGTATTTCTGACATATCCAAAACCTTCATAAACCCTAGACTTAAGAGAAGGTATTAATTTTTCTACCATCTATCTTGGTAATCAAACTGATTTTTTTTGGAGACACCTACCCTCCAGGTGCCTTAAATTTTCAAATTATTTTTACTTTTCAGAAGGTAAAGCAGCAAAAGAACTTAACTATTCTTTTCATACTTCATTTTTCTATCTGCATTGAATGCTTATCGAGTGAGCTTCAGGTCAGGTAGGAACACTGTCCTAAAGGTGGGACTGCAACAGTGTATTTCAAGGAGGTTTTGGGGGTTTTGTGCTTTTTTTTCCCCCTAAATAAGGATTGAAAGAATGTTGTAGCTCTCAGGTCTGTGGAAGACTCTTGCAGTTCCACTACGCTCTACCTCCACTGTGCACTATCTCCACTCTTTAAGTGCGCTCACCCGCTTGTGTTTCAGTAAATCTCAGTTAAGTGTGGAATGCTGATTTCTTCTGACTTCCTAAATAGAGTATTATGGAGACCTGTATGTTTTAAATTAAAACACATTCCAGACCTTGGGTACAAGCAAACTTCAATAGAAAAGGCTGCTTAAACCTTTGGGGAGAGTCCTATATTTAGATTACATTAATTCATAAATATTATACTAAATACCACTTAAATTGGCCTTAAATGACTTCAAAGATAATGCATTATAATATGGCTGTCCTGAGAGCACTAACCTTTATGTCTCCCAGTAACTCAGCCTTTAAGCATACTCCACTGCTAGATAAGAAGGGGGGAAGTTGTGAATGAATGGCTTGCTAAATTGTTCAAGTGTGATTAGTTAACTCCGTGTGTGTGTGTGAGTGAGTGCATGGGTGGGTCAGCTCAGCCCCGGTAGATTTCTATCCGCAGATCTCAGCCCACAGCCTCTTCCCAACCCTAAAGCAAAGTGCCACAGCAGGAGCCTCTTCCTGCCCTGTGTGGAGAAAAGCAAGGACCGGGAAAATACACAGCCACTACGCTCATGCCACAAAAGGTTGCTTTCTTGGGGATCTGGCAAGCATTTCCCACCTTCCCTCACATTCTGCTTCCCCCATACCCTTTTCTCTTTTTGCTTGTTTGCAAGAGTATTGTACTCCCCTGCCTTTTCCCAAATATCTGCTCTGATATCAGTCCGGGTTGCTGATCAGAGAACCTGGAACTTCATGCTCTTTTTGTGATAGTTTTTTTTTTGTGAGGGAGGCATAGTCATGTACTTTATCTTCAGGTCCTTAATTTTCAATATCCTCCTACTATACAGGAGCACCACAGTAGGATGTCTTCATAATATTTTCAAGAATACACATCCTGTGCTCTTATTTCAATGGATTTACACCTGAAATTACCCTGGTTGCTATGTTTTTACTTTAAACTAATTCCTATCTCTTCCCTCCTCCCAACACAAACCTACCTTCTACCCCTCCACAACCAAGGTTTGCTCTCCGTACACTTAAATAAACTACAGCCTACAATTAACCCTTCAGAGTATACCACTGTCACAGCTTCATCCTCTGGATTAGGAATGAAATCAACTGAGAGTGATGGATCAATTAATGTATAAGCATTATGCACCACTTATGGAAAGCATCTTGGGGTTTCATGTTGCCATCCTGCACCTGAGAGCCAAGTTAGACTATCTTTATGCAATTCTTCACCTATGCCTGCAAAGCAAAGCCAAAATAAAGAGATCTGAGTGAATACTATCCTTCACATGGCTGCATTTACAGAAGGGAAAAGGAAAAAAAAATAGATTAAAAATGAAATAAAATTAAATAAAATATTTTTTAAAAGCCAAACACAATCCTCTTCCTTCAAAGACCCATCACACTTTTTGACTTAATAGTAATTAATCACTTCTGGCAAGAAAGTAATTTTTTTTCAGGTAGCCAGAGGCACATTTTTATCAGGATTAGCTAATAAATCAGCGGCATCGCTAGAAAGGAGTTCAAACTCTTCTCGGATGTACTAAATAAAACCGATCTCTGAAACGCTGGTAACTCAGTGTCTATTGAAGCTCCACACAAATCCTAGCCTGCGATATAGCAATCATCATAATCTTTTTTCCTTCCAAAGTCCAGAACTTCTAGGAGGTTAAAAATGACTGTTTCTTACAAGATGAACCCATGCAATTTGGATTTGATGAAGTGACAAGATTTCCCACCTGGCTTTTTTTCCTAGGTTGCTGCTTTAGAACAGAAATAAGTGAAGGGAAATGAAGTTAGTATCTTGCTTAATTCAGGAATATGTGTTAAACACATCCAAGCAAGATAAATGATCCCTCTCTCTCTCTCTCTCTCTCTCTCTCTCTCTCTCTCTCTCTCCCTCCTCCCCTTCCTGAGTTTGTTTCTGTGAATACAGGCATACTGCAAAAGAAAAACTGAACTGAAAGAGGAAGAATTCACATCGATGAAACCGAAATTAAAGTTAGTGCATAGATTGATTTATTACACGTTTAAGATAGAACATAACAGAAGAATAAAATCTAATCAACAAATCAACATAACCTCGCACTGCCACAAAAGTGTTTTATCGAGGTGTTAGCTCAGAGATTTCCTCTAGACTATGTAGAGTGATTCTCTTCAGTGTAGTTTTAACTGTTGTTATTTTTATTTTACCTTAGCTAATTTTTGCAAACACATGCGCGCACACACGAGCTCTGTGACTACTCTCACTATGCCTCATCTATTAAACGATACTTCTCAGGACCTATCTTCCTCTGTGCTTTGTACCATTATTTTTACTGTTATTATTAATAAATATTATAATACAGATGTCATGTTTAAATGATGCCCCTCAGACCTTGATGTAGCTTCTAGGAATCTAGTCTAAAAAGAAAGCAAGGTTTGAAAGGCTGATCATTGTAAATAAGAGAAGGGTGTTTGGAGCGACCAGCAAAAAAGGAAGGAAGAAATTTCCTGTAACTTGGTCTGAGTCTCTGGTCCCCAAGCCCTGAACCTCTTCTCTAACCTGTGCGGAGCTGGTACTTCGCACTGTCAGGGTATATTTTCATTCGCATTTCTTGATAGTAGAAGAGAGGAGGGGAGTGAGTGGGAAGGGGGAAGAGATGCCTGCTTAACATGCCGTTAAGTTCAAGATTTACAACTCGCCAAGGCATCTGGAAAGCTGAGAAGCCAGTAATTCCATTACCAACGTTCCTCCCTGCCAGGAGTCCACCAAGCTGGAGTAGACATCGCTACCAAACCTCTCCTGTAAGAGATGCAACTTCAACTCCCCATTTAGCCCCCTGAAAAATGTTTTCTCCTCCAGCACTAAATCTGGAGTCACACCCTAAGCACTTCCAAACTGATCTTTCTCTTTGCCCCCTTTTTTATTTTTTACGTATCTAATGAAACAAACAGCACACATACTCACAAATGTATACGCACAGAACCTGAGTTAATAAAGTGGTTTGCTTCATTCGTAGGTCTCTCCTGCTCCTAAGCGGGGCTACCATGCAAATTATCTTCAACTTCCTCCCTGTGAGTCCTACTTTCCTACCCGAGGATCCGAGCATCTCTCCCCCACTACACACACCCTCCCCCACCTCCAAAACGTAGCATCATCTAATCTGAAATGCACCTCCAGAGAGCCTAAGCTAAGCAGGGAAAGGAGCGGGCAGAGATGGAGAGAGCATTGCATGGGGAGTACGTCTCCACTGCCTTTAAAGAAACCTAAAAAAGTTCCCGGGATGGACTTTGGGCACATTGAAGTAGTGCTTGGAATACGCCTGCTTGGAGACTTCTCCCCTCTGGAACTAAAGTGCCACTCGTCCTCCCGGCTTGCCTTTTCCAACACACACATTGTGATTTCATACACCTCCCCCTGCCCCGCTTGAAATAGGGTTGGTTTGCTGTCTTTTTTTTTTTTTT